GGAGCTTTCCTTCCAGTGAAAATGACAAGTGCAAGGTGCCCTGTCTGGATTGGGACATGGGAGAGAGGCTCCTCATCTGGATTGGGCTATATCACATGTGCTAATTGGTCTGCCTCGGGAGACAATGGAAGAGTGTGCCTTCGAGGGTGAAGTCAAACCATGAGAGAGTTACAGTGCCTGCAGTGGTGTAGAGACTGATACAAGAGAGACGTGTTTTGTTTCTGCTAGGGCAGATGAAGAGGTCCGGTTGTGCTGCTGCAGATGCACCATAACATTTCTTCTGTCTGTGCTTCTCCCAGTGGTCATTCCTCCTCTGGTCACTGCTGTGGATGCGCAACCTGACTGTCTGTCTCCAGACACTGCGGTCCTCTGCAAGGGATTCCCACACACTGGGGTCGATGTTGCTAGCCTTCATGCCATGTCATGTTTGCAGGCATCTTTGTAACACAGAGCTGGTTTGCCTGGTGCCTGCAGCCAGCTCCCTGTAGAGATCCTGCCATCTTCTGTGGACATTACCAAGGCAGTGGAGTAAATCTGCTGTCTCAGACTCAGCCATCAGCAGTAGGTGGTCAATGCCCTCCTGGAGAGCCCTCCTTTGATAGTCATGAAGGCTGTGCTCTGCTTCCACAGCTGGAGTCAGCAATGCCTCTGAATACCAGCTGTTGGAAACCACAGGAGGGGGAGAGCGCACTTGTGCTCAGATCCTGCTTGTGGGTTTTTCACCGGCACTATGTGAGAACAGAATGCTGGACTAGATGAGCCACTGGCCTGATCCAGAAAGCTCTCCTTATGATCTTATGTCCCCAGCCCCCAATGAGGCTCTTCACTTTGCAGATGGGGGAGAAGGAGAAAACACCCAGACATGATTCTCTCTGTTTCCTCCTCCTCAGTCTAAACCTGCAATCTATACCCAATCCCAACAAGGCCATGGGGCTCATGGGAGAAACCTCTCACTGGGTTGGGACCCTTACAGGGAACCAGGGCCATCTTTAGCATAAACACCGCTGGGGTGCAAAGATCCACCCAGCGCCCTAAAATTAGCTTTTATTGACCTATTTTTTTGGGGGGGGGAACTCAAAATTGTTAAGCTTTTTTTAGTGGGGAAATCGCTCACCTGTAACAATGATGCAGCGGATTGTTTCCTGACTCGTCAAGAATATTTAACACTACAGAGTAACAAAGTGATGGGGGGGGTGGACTTTCGCTCCATTGCTTTTCACTGCAGCCAATCGAGAGGGACCAGTATACAGTAGGTATACATTTGGTGCCCCCCAGAATTCGGCACCTGGATGCCCCACACCCCTTGTACCCCCTGGTTAAGACGGCCCTGCAGGGAACACTGTGTTCATATCCCCACCCCCCATCACACACAACAGTATTCATGTTACTGTTAGAACAACATCAGTAGGATCAATTGCATGGGTCCTTCCCGCACAAGGAGGGAGGGTGATGATCAGGTGCAAAAGACCCACATGATATGTGATTCCCTGATTGCACCAAGGATGGAGACTGTAGCCCTTCGTTCCTAAACTCCTACCATCCCTAGGTCATTGGCCATGGTCTCTAGGGACCATGGGAGTTGGAGTCCAACAACATCTGGGCAAAGGGCATAAATTCCCCATCCCTGATTTTGCACACCTTTACAAGGACATGGGATTACATCCTGGTTTCTCACACTGTGCTTAGGAAATGAAGATTCTGTCCCATCGCATTGAAAGGGTTAATCATGATGAAATATTCTCAGAAGACGGAGACACATCTGGTGACAGCTACGACAGATCTTCTTCAGTTCAATTAACAGAAACCTTGTGGCTTTCATAAAGTATATGTGTTTATTTTTAGATAATCTTAAAATTCAACATGAGACCCGGAGGTAAGTGGGGTTCTAGAAGAAGTTTGAAGATAACTTGGTGGATATCGCTGTTAAGGCTAATCCAAATGAGGAGAGGCGGAAATACTCTTAATATTCCTTTTGTGCATTATTATCCTCTAAGGAGTTTAAATAATTTATCAAAATGTTGATTCCTTAATAGCGGAGGAATCCAAGAAATATAGGTCTTTAGACTTAAGACCCACGATGGAATAATTGCATTTTTTCTTAATTTAGATAACTGTGCACCAGTTGAGCCTAAGGCTACTTTGAAGGTTAATGTGGATAAACTTTTAGAAATGAAGATATCAGAAATGAATACATTTTGGAAATTATAGCTTCCAAAGCCATCCTCAGCAGCAGAATGCAACTATTAAGATGGAAGTTATTTGGAGTGGGTGGGGGGAATTATCTCCTTTCTAAGCCCAGTAATATTGCAACTGCAGAGAGGGAAAATAACATATCAGTTTTAAATCCTATAACCAGTTTTCCTTCTCATTGCCTATTTGGAATCATGAGCTGACAGATTTTGGAAATAGGATTAGATTACCTTTAAAGTTCCAGGGTGGATCCCCTGTTGTCATTTAATTGACTAAGAACATCGCTGCCAGTCTAACACGTCTCTCCTCATCCACATACTGTTATTTGGCCTCTTTTACTAAATCTTCAAAAGATTACAGAATTTTGAAGTTGTCAGCTAGTTGTCAATGGAGGCTGCATTTCTTCTTAGCCAACTGCAGTTTTTTAGCCAGCTTCCGGACTAGTCCAAAAATCAATAAGACGAGAGAACGCAGAAAAGAGGAAGGAGGACCCAGGTGATCACTGCTGAGAATTGCAATCCCAGTTGTGTTGCATTTGGACCATTTTGCAAAGATCACAAGCAATCATTTACCTATTTCCCCATTGACCACCATCGCATCCTCCGTATTTATGGCAGGCATATGTAGCTGCTTGCCTGATTTGCTGGCCACAACTTCACGATTTCAACTTTTACTGCTGGCATTTTAAGGACCTAACAACTGCCTTACTGAATAAGATAAATGTCAACCTAAACCGCCATTCAGTCGCCAACAGTGGCCTGTGTGGATGCTTCTGGGAAGCTAACAAGGAGGGCATGAAGATGATAGCTACCCTCTGTTGTATAACTTCAGCTCCTGATATTCAGAGATACACTGCTCCTACACTTGCTCGATCTAGTATAATGTCCAATAGCCTTTGATGGGGCCATCTCCCCCAAATTTGTCTGGTTTGTTGCCATCTAAGCCAGTGGTTCTCACTACATCCTGTGCCAGTGAGCTCCATAATTTCCAGGTGTGTGAGGTACTTTCTTCACACCTAAGCTGACTATTAGCGTATGGAGAACACAGACTATAGAGAGAGTAAAAGGCCCATCTTTGACTCAGAGGAAAACCTACAAGCAGGACGTGTATACAATGGCCCTCTCAAGTCCTCACACAAATGGTTTTCAGAGCTGTACTGTCTCCGATACTGGAGGCAATACACAGCCACCATGACAAATCGCCATTGGCAGCCTTACCCTCCATTAATTTGTCTTCTTATCCCCTTTTAAAGTGATCAAGTGCTTCCTCTTTCCTGTCTGTCCTGAATCTCCCACCATTCAGTTCCATTCTCTCTATCCGCTTCCTCCTCAACGTGCATAATTGTATACACCTCTAAAATGCCAGGGCTCCAGCCCTTTCATCATTTCGGATGCCATTTTCTACACCTTTTCCAGATCTGCAATATCCCTTTCTGAGGTGTAGTGACCAGAATTGTACCTCGTATTCTAAGCACACCTGCACCACAGATTTGTACAAAAGCTTCATTGGCTGACCCCACATTGTAATATTATGAGGGATGAATTTCCTTCTCTTCACACTGTTCAGCCCCCGCCCCCACATGGTTATGTGCTACTTGTGGTGGTTTAATAAAAAGAAAAAAGAAAATGGCCTAGAAATCCTTTAGCGCAGAGAATAAATCCCATTTTCTTTTGAAAAACTTTTCAATTCCACATTGCCACTATACAAGTAAAGCACCATGATTCCACTTTCAAACACTGTGACTTCTCCCAAAGAATCCTGGGAGCTGTAGTTTGTGAAGGCTGCTGTGAGTTGTTAAAAAAGGTAAAGGACCCCTGGCAGTTAAGTCCAGTCGCAGATGACTCTGGGGTTGAGGTGCTCATCTTGCTTTACAGGCTGAGGGAGCCAGCGTTCGTCCACAGACAGTTTTTCCAGGTCATGTGGCCAGCATGACTAAGCCGCTTCTGGCGAAACCAGAGCAGCGCACGGAAATGCTGTTTACCTTCCCGCTGGAATGGTACCTATTTATGTACTTGCACTTTTTGGCATGCTTTCGAACTGCTAGATTGGCAGGAGCTGAGAGTTGTTAAGAGACCCCCTATTCTCCTCAGATGCAGGTGGCACTGTAGTCTAAACTACTGAGCCTCTTGGGCTTGCCAATCCCGATCAGAAGGTTGATGGTTTGAATCCCTGCAACGGGGTGAGCTCCCATTGCTCTGTCCTAGCTCCTGCCAACCTAGCAGTTTGAAAGCATGCCAGTGCAAGTAGATAAATAGCTATCACTGTGGCAGGAAGGTAAACAGCGTTTCCGTGCGCTCTGGTTTCCATCACAGTGTTCCGTTGTGCCAGAAGTGGTTTAGCCATGCTGGCCACATGACCTGGAAAGCTGTCTGTGGACAAACGCTGGCTCCCTTGGCCTGAAAGCGAGATGAGCACCGCAACCCAATTGTCGCCTTTGACTGGACTTAACTATCCAGGGGTCCTTTACCTTTTTTTACCTTTATTCTCCTCAAAGAACTACAGTTCCCAGAGTTTTCTGAGAAAAGGGATTGGTTGCTAAATGACTCCAGGAATTGTAGCTTCTTGAAGAGAATCGGGGCTTTATAACAACTCTCAGCAGCCTTCTCAACTAGGGCTGCCATACGTTTGGGGTTTCAAAGGCGGATTTGATGTCCGGAAGGAATTTCCGAAAGGTGGTGCTTTGTCCTCCTGGATCTTAGACAAGTCAATTGATACATCCCATTTTCTTTTGTAAAGAAAAGCTCAACAACTTTCAGGGTGTCCTGGTTTTTATTTTTTGAAATATGGCAACTAGCCTTAACAAACTACAGTTTGCTTCTCTGCCTTATGGCTAAGATCAAGTGTAGTATCTGTTCTTATTGGTTTAACAAACTACAGTTCCCAGGATTCTTTGTGGGAAATCACGACTCTTTAAAGTGGCATCATAGTGTGTTAAATGTACGGTGTGGATGTGGCCCAAATCAGAATGGTATCCTTCAACAAGACAAAAGGCAAAAATTTGGGATTTTGAAGTACATTGCCAACAACAACTCTGTATTTTTTTCTTTAAAAAAAGAGATGAATCTAGTACAGTAGTATCACCCATGGAAAAGTATATGGGATATTGATCTTGCTTTAGAAGGGTTAACAGAGACAGGTATCATATAGCAGGGAAGTAACAGCAAGGACAGCCTTTCCTCATAAAGCAGAGAAGCCCTCTCTGTGCTCTACATCCCGGGTATATCTGGAAAATGGCCCTGTGAGGATGCTAATAAATCCTCTGCAACAAATTATTCACTAAGATCTTTAGGGGAATTTGAATAAATCCTCACAGCCATTTAGTGGGTAATCTCCTGATCAGATTCCCATTTTTCTTTAGAGGACAATAATATAATATATTAGCTCTTGTGCTCTGTGCCAGAGAAATGCTATATATCAAAAATATGAATATAGTCAAAATATTGATCTCTAGCCAAAGTGGAACTAGAGGAAACTGTAAAAATGTAATGTAGTCCATTAGAGAGAAGGAGGGGAGAAAGATTATAAGCACAGCCGCTTCAGGAAGAAGGGAAGCACTTCCTTAAATGTCCTGATTCCCATGAACAGTGAGAATTCTAGGGGTGCAACATGGAGGAAGGGCCACAATATGCCACCTGTTTAAAGCACCATGATACCACTTCCAACAGACATTGCTTGCTTCAAAGAATCCTGGGAACTGTAGATTTTTTTAAGAGTGCTGAGTGTTGTTAGGAGACCCATCACAGTGCTGAAATCCGTATTGTCCCAAAGAAGCTACAGTTCCCAGTATTTGGGGAGGGGGGGGAGAAAGTCATGACTGTTGACATTGTATAAAGGTGCTTGGAATGTAAGGTCACAAGTTCTGTTTCACTGCCCATGGAGTTCTGTTGTTAGTACAGAGCAAAGCAGGTTTTTTAAAAAATAAAATAAAAACAACAGCCATCTTAAATGAAGCTTTTAACTTTTTAATTTAATTTATTTTTGGAGGGCTGTGCTTTAAACAACAAATAGTGCTCTGCTCTTCAGTGCTCCAAAGGCAACATTGTGGACAGCCTCGGTTCCTGCATAGCCCCTTGCCCCATGGAAATACAGTGGAACCTTGGTTCTCAAACTTAATCCATTCTGGGAGTCTGTTCAACTCCCGAAACCATTCGGAAACCAAGGCACGGCTTCCGATTGGCTGCAGGAGCTTCCTGCACTCAAGCGGAAGCTGCGTCAGATGTTCGGCTTCTGGAAAACATTCGAAAACCGGAACACTTCTGGGTTTTCGGTGTTTGGGAGCCAAAATGTACAAGTACCAAGGCGTTCAAGAACCAAGGTACGACTGTATAGAAAGAATAGGCAGACAGAGCTATAAGGTACAGAAAAGTACAGAAAAACAACAAGGTGAGATTTTGTTAGGATTACGCTTTGACTTGGAGGAGGTGGTTATGGGCATCACACTTTGACTCAGGAGAGGGGAAAGACCCCTGAATCATCCCAATAATTTCATTGTCCACCCTGCCCACAAAGTGGCACAGCCCTAGAATCATAGAATAGTAGAGCTGGAATGGACCACAAGAGTCATCTAGTCTAACCCTCTGCAATGCAGGACTCTTTTGCCCAGCGTGGGGCTCAAACCCACAACCCTGAGATTAAGAGTCGCATGCTCTACTGACTGAGCTATCCCTCCAGTTGTATGCCTAGAAGATACAAAGTGCTAAACTGGCGCTCAGTGAATTTAGAGAGAGAAAAGATCCCCAGCATAGAATATGCATGGCATTGGAGAAAATAAGGGCATTGCCATTGGGCTCTCAAAAACACGCACTGGAAGAAGTGATGGCAATCCTACCTGGGAATAAGTCCCATTAAACTAAGGGAAGCTTATTGTTCAAGCGGACATGTGCAGGATTGTGCTGTTAATCTCTTTTATAGACATTTATCTCACCTCCAAGCTCACTATCCAACTTACAACAAGAGTGGTTTAATATCAAATAAACCATTACGGGGTGATTAAGAACTGTAACGAATAAATAAAAGACAATACGATTCTATGCATGCCTACTCAGGAGTAAGTCCATTGGTGTTCAGTCACATAGGTGTGTATAAAATGGGATTGCAGCCTTAGAGTCTTATATTGCTGACTTTTTGCTTTTTTTTTTTATTTAAGAAGACAGTCATCTTTACAAGCTGGCTACAAAACTGCATAAATGTGATACTCACTTTCTGTGGGTAGGCATAAAATTGTGGAGTCTTATAGCTCCTAGTGTTGAGGCATGCCGATTTTGCAGCGATCTTCTCCGGCTGTGGAGTTGCTTGGTTTCTAACTCGGAGAGGAAACTGCTGACCTCTTCTCTTGCCGTGAGTTATGATGGAAGTAAAAGAGTTAGCCCTAAAGGAATGAGGAACTAAATTTCAGAAGCGCAAAATAGCATCTGTCATAAGAAATATAGGTTTAGACCCTCTCCCGGCCCCAAACCTGTGTAGAAGCCTGTAAAAATAATAGCCGTAATGGATTTGCAGCCTGATATTTATGTGGCTTTACTCAGAAGCAAGTTCACTGAGATTTATCCAGCTCAGCTTGCATAAATTAGTATCCTTAGCATAGTCAAGCTAATGCCAGCATTTTGCAACCTCTTATGTTTCATAGTTTAATCTTAGCAGCTTGATCCCTCAACCAATTAAGCTGCGATATCTTTAGCCTTCATTTAAAATCCTGAAGGTGGTGGTGGTTTGGATCTTCTTGGTGCTTAGAGTTGCCCTAGGATTGGTACCCATGGAATACAGAGATTTTAATGTGGCAGGATCCGAAGTCATGGGTCTTGACATTGGTGTACCGCTGATCAAGTGTCTTGTCTGAGAAAACTGTTTGCTCCCACACTCAGCAATGCCATAATCTGGCCATCTGACTCAGCCTTTTCAAGGGGGTGGGGTGGGGACGGGATAGAAATTCTGCAGTGGGGTGTGGGGTAGAAATCTGGCTTGATTTGTATTTTAATGTGAACCTCCCTAATTCACACTTTATGAAGCAACACTTGAATCGAAATGCCGCTATCCTTTAAAATTCGCACTTCTCAGAATTTTGCAGTGCAACTCTTCAGCCGAATAAAGTGTGTGCATGCAAATGTAAAGTAGCATCAAAATGTATTTCTGTTAGGGAAATTGCTTGCAAAAATGTGTATGTTGTGAGAAATTTGCACAAAGGTCCTAATGAATTTTCTTGACAGCTTTTTTTTTTTTTAAAGCACAAACTAATGCAGGGTTTCCATATTTCAAAAAGTGAAAATTCAGACACAGAGTTGTTGAACTTTTTTTTTGGCAAAGTTGTTGAGTCCCCCCCGGCCCAGACATTTCAGTGATTTCCACACAGATGCTGTTTACAAGGGTAGAATACCGGCAAAGTCCAGGAAATTCCAGACGTATAGCAACCCTAGGAAAACCAAATGTAAGGCTGGAAAAATGAGAAACTGAGAGAAACAAAAATTGACATATTTGGCCATCAAACTATGCTCCGAACTGGTTAGCAACAAGTGGCTCTTATCTATCTATCTATCTATCTATCTATCTATCTATCTATCTATCATCTATCAATCATCTATCTATCATCTATCTATCTATCTATCATCATCATCATCTATATCTATCATCTATCTATCTATCTATCTATCTATCTATCTATCTATCCATCTGCTGAGAAAGGGCTCTTTGGGCAACACAGCATGGCTGAAACTTCCTGTCCCGTCTGCTTCCATCTGCATGTTCAGACCCAGAAACCTCCCGCCTAAAAAAATTCACACTTGACTCAAATTTTAGTTTGGTTTTTGGCAGAATTTAGGCCACAACTTTATTGATTACAGAAGGTGAGTGGTTGCATAGGCTCTGGTTCGACTAGCTCCCTGCCATGCAGGTAGCGCTGACCCAGGGTTCCAGCATAGGTCAGCCAAGGGTGAACACCTGGATAGGCAGAAAGCCGGGAGCGGGCTAACTCCGCCACCCAAATGTCCCCCTGGACTGAGGCCCGGGCACAACCCCCTATCAGGGGTTGACCAAACCATTGAGTCCCTGGATTCCTTTAACAGAATACCCTTCACATAGGGATGGCGAGAGTGTTCTCCCATCCCTGTCACCTGGACCAGAGCCTGTCCGCAACATTACAAGTTGTGACGATTTGCTACGCGGCAGGCAAAACCCAAATGGCACCAGCCAACCAGCCAAGTGGGGAAAATTCCTGCCATGCCCCTGTCCCAACGACCGACGACAGACGACGGCATAGCAAGGTCAAGTGCAAAGCCCTAAAAGCAGGGAGAGGTGGGCAGGTATTCCGATTGCACGCGCCAAAAGAGGAAGCTCTGGGTCACGTGCATGGGCATAAATAGGTCCCTTGAACCGTTTGGACTGCGTCCCATTGGCCAGATTGCACCCAGCTATGAGGGACCCACCAATCGGGTGTTGTGGCTGACCAATCGTACCCACCCACAACACAGGGTGTTGGTTTTCCAGGTCTCACTGCAATACATGCCCTCTTTAAGGGAGGACCTGATTTCTGCTCCCAATTGCTGCACTTCCTTTTCAGCGCTTCCACTCTATGTCCGTAAGGCCTTGCTCCTGTTGCAGCAGTTGCCACAGCCTTGCAGCGCTTGGATGCATTGGTGGGACTTTGGTGCATTCACCCTAGTGGACCAGTCTCGGCGGGCTTTGGCCCCAGAGGCAGCAAATTTGGCATGAGAGGAAAAGGTCCCCTTAGGATGCAGTGCTGATGCTATGGAAGCATGTGGCCAGTGGCTATAATGGCACTGGTAGAGAGTAGTCAGCAGACCTGGTCCTTCTCTCACCCCATGAATATTCACGTGAATATCTCTCCTCTTTCTTCTACGGTGACGCCAAAGCAGCCGCTCAAGACATCGACCCACGTTTGCTTAGCACTGAGCATCATATTATTTGTGGCATGGAAAGAGGGAGGATGGCATTTGGTGGGGTGAAGCGGCGGGAAGAAGAGGAAGAGAGAAGCCCTTTCCCTCCGTGTTACAGCCAACGGCAACTGTTAATATAATAAAGTCATTCATCCCTGTCATCATAACCCAAGATTAAATAGCCCTAAAACCACTGAAACAGCAATTTTGTGATTAGCTTGATAGGTATTTACAGTCCTTAATGAAACATTATATAGTCATTTGAGCACACTGCTAGCATATTGTGTACGCAAGTTGTCACACGGCCAAAACCGTAATTCTACTGCATGTACGGTATGTAGATAACATCGCAGCCACACAATGCGTAAGTGTGAGTGAAGGATAAATAAGTACTTCTGAAAGATTTCATGTCCTGATTTATAATTTCAGTAAATTTCATTTCTAAATTTGTATTCAAATTCAGGGTTGTTGTTTTTTTAAAGCCTCCCCCTGCTTTAGATTAGACTTATTATACTGTAATTAATTTCTATACCACCCTTCATCTGAGTATAGTCCTTGTTGATACCTCAGTCAGTAGAGCATGAGACTCTTAATCTTGGCGTCGTGGGTTCGAGTCCCATGTTGGACAAAAGATTCCTGCTTTGCAGGAGGTTGGACTAGATGGAACTCTTGGTCCCTTCCAACTCTACAATTCTGTGATTCTATTAATTAATATATGACCACAGGGCAGTTTATAATATAAAAACACAAAAATATATAACAGAGTCACAAACAAAAACAATACCCCCCACAATTTAAAATGCCATAGATTCTTTGATTAGCCAGACTATTAGAGGAGCAGGAGCAGTTTGTGATTCATTTTTAGCGGGTGTCTTTATTACTGCTGATTAATGTATTTTATTTTATTTTTATTCTTTTTGTCCATATTAAAAATCACCTAGAGATATCCTTTTGTGTTAGGTGACACATCAATTAAATAAATATAATCACAAATCCAGAAGAATTCTTTTTAATAATAATAATAATAATAATAATTACTTATACCCCGCCCATCTGGCTGAGTTTCCCCAGCCGCTCTGGGCAGCTCCCAAAAGAATATTAATAAAAAAAGATAAAACTTCAAACATTAAAAACTTCCCTAAACAGGGCTGCATTCAGATGTCTTCTAAAAGCCTGGTAGTTGTTTATTTCCTTGACATCTGAAGGGCGGGCACCACTACTGAGAAGACCCTCTGCCTGGTTCCCTGTAACCTCACTTCTCGCAGTGAGGGAACTGCCAGAAGGCCTTCGGCGCTGGACCTCAGTGTCCGGGCTGAACGATGGGGGTGGAGACGCTCCTTCAGGTATACTGGGCCGAGGCTGTTTAGGGCTTTAAAGGTCAGCACCAACACTTTCAATTGTGCTCAGAAACGTACTGAGAGCCAATGTAGGTCTTTCAGGACCTTTTTCAGTTTTTCTTTTGCAATGAGATTAATGCCTTTGGTATTACTACTAAAATTACAAAAATTCTTAGGGATGTGCCTTTGCAACTGCCGCCTAGGCCAGAGGTGCTCTCCATCCTGACCCCCCACTTTACCTAAGCAGCTCACCAGGCAGGAGCTGGGAGAGGATGGGCCCTTCATCCCTCAGCTGTGCAGTGTCTCCCACAAGTAGGGGAAGTGGGTAGATGGAGAGACTTGTGGCGGTGGCATTGGTGGCGCATTAGCCTGAGGAGGCACTCTTGTGTGGCCTGCCACTGCTCCTCAGTTCTGTCTGGCAGAAGCAGCAGTGCCACATGAAGGCACAGGTTAGGGGGCGCAATGCATGCCTTAGAGACCTCTATACTTTCCTTGCCCTGGGAGCTAGCAACCCACGCTATGTCATGGGTCTGCACTTTGCAGCCTTTCCACGTTCCCACAGTTCAGTTGACTCCTCGTTTGGGGCTTTTGCAGACCAGGAACTGTGGGCAGCTGGGGAGGCTGCAGAGTGCTGTACAAACATTCAGTGAGGGGCAAAAACCCCCCACCACCCTGAGCCACCTCACCAAGATAAGGCAAACTCAGAGCCCTGGGCCCACTGACATTCAAAAATGAAGCCTCTTTTGCCAAGAAAGAAAACTTTTGAGAACTTGGGGGACACATTTTGGCACAGCAACATCGGAAACAATTACTATTTTTGCTTCACTTTGGTAGAAGTTAATAGGATTGCAGGAAATGACTCTGAGAGATGTGAATGTACAGTAACTTGCCAAAGGCCATGCAATGATCCCGGATAAAATTCTAGTTTTCATCTCAGCCGTTAGAAGTCATTGCTAAATATTCATTTTTATGTGAATGTGTCCTCTAATTGCTCTAGTTATGGCTTTGTTTTGCTTTGCATTATAGATTAATTCTTTCTTTTAAATGGACATGACACTCTCATTAGGCTGCCCCCAGGCCCACAGAGTTCAATGTAAGAAGTTTAACGCACAGGCTGAAAGCCGGCCATTACCAAAAATGCAAGAGATTCAGCATACTTGCAGAGTGGTTTAACACTCAACCCCTCTTCCCATGGAACTCTGGGAATTGTAGCTCTGTGAAGGGAATAGGGGCCTCCTAATAACTCTCAGCACCCTTAAGAAACTACATTCCCAGGATTCCTTGGGGGAAGCAAAGGCTGTTGAAAGTGGCATGATATGGCTTTAAAGATACGGTATAGTGTAGATGGGGCCTGAGTTTATGTCATTTATTACAGTCTTCAGCCTCATTTTCCTAAATGCATGTAGAAACCTTTTAACATGTAAAAGGAGGTTTTCAGGATGTCAAATTGTGGACTCACCTATACCGCTGCGGAAAGAAAAGAAAAGCGCGTTTTAAGTGTGTTGTAAAGTACATTATACAAATGTGACACTAGATGGTGATGGTGAGCTATAGCAAATTCAATATATTTTTTCAAAACTTTTTTTGTTTTTTGTTTTTCTTTTTTGCTGTATTGCTGTATGGCTTTTATATGTTTTATATGTTTTGTTATTGTTCGTTTTCTTTTTGATTGTTATTTTCTTCCCCCCCCTTTTTTCTGTAACCTTTAAACTTTTAATAAATATCATTTAAAAAAAACAACAACTTTTTTAAAAAAAAAAATATTCACAATGTTTTACATACAGTGGTACCTCTGGTTACAAACTTAATTCGTTCTGGAGGTCCGTTCTTAAGCTGAAACCGTTCTTATCCTGAGGCGTGCTTTTGCTAATGGGGCCTCCCGCTGCGCGCGTGCCTCTGGTGCACGATTTCCGTTCCCATCCTGGGGCAAAGTTCACAGTCAGGAGCAGCTACTCCCAGGTTAGCGGAGCTTGTATCCTGAAGCATTTGTAACCAGAAGCGTTCGTAACCAGAGATACCACTGTATGTATGTGTGTGTGTGTGGATTCCACCAATATCAACCTGTCTAACTGGACCTATCCAGTAACACCTAAGGGCAAAAGTAGTTTGCAGTTTTGGGGGGAATATGCAAGTATGTTCTGTGCTCCATAAAGCGCCATAAAGCAAGGGCATTATTGGGGCAAATGTGAGCTCACACGACTCTCAGGAAAAATGCCAGACTTGACTGCTCAAAATTACAAATGAATATGTAAATCTTGGCTTCAGACCAAAAAGGAGCTGAGTCGCCAAGGTTGTTAAATATGGTCACATACTTCAGCAGATTAATTCAATCTCTGGTCACAGATTACAGTTTCCTTTACGAAGCCACCCAAGAGGAGAGATGGCGTGTGTATCACGTGTTCACCCTGATTTGTTTGCAAGGTGATTTGATGACATTGGGTATGTAACGTGGGTTCGCTCTGATTCGTTCGTGGGGAGGTTAGATGGTGTTATGTCAAAACAAGAGCTATCCCAACTTCTCTGTGCATTTCCCCTTTCACGTTCCTTATCTCAAAAAGCCCACACTTTTGAGGAAGCAAGTTTGTTGGACAGTACCTCCCAATCTAGTACACATCTTGGGAAGTTATTTGCTTGCTTTGCATTTGGACAGTTCTTAAGATATTGTTCCAAAATTGTGCATGATGTATGTTGAGATCAAAGAGTTGGTTTTTGTCTATGTCTGGATGCACCACAGAGCTACAGTTCCAAGAGTTTACTGGGAAGAGGGATTGAGAACTGTAGCTTTTGGAGGCGAATAGGGGCATCTCCTAACAAACTGCAGCTCCCATAATTCTTTGTGGAAGCCTTGACTGTTTAACATGATATGACAGTGCTTGAAATGTATGATGTGACTGTGACCTAAGACATTTTGATGCGTGAAGTAGAGCAGAAAATGATGTCCTCACTCCAGGTCAAGGTTACCCAAGGCGAAAGTTGTTGTGGTTGTTGTTTATTCGATTTACACCCCAAGCTTCACCACAAAACCTCAGGGTGGTTCACAAGATAATCAAGGGAATCAGAGTCAGCCAAGTTCTCCTGGGACCTGAAACAGAAAATCCCACAAATACCTCTTCCCCTTTCCCTGGAAGTGAAAATACAGCAGTAATAAATTAAACAACTGCCCTTTCATGACACTCAAAACCAGCTGTCTAATGTTGCCACCTCACTTTGCCTAATAGTAGGGCTGGCTCTGCCAATAAGCACCACACAAGCAGCATGTTGTTCCCCAGCTACTGGTATTGTGTTGCATACATCAATGGCTACCTCAAGCATACATCATTGGGACGCAGGTGGCGCTGTGGTCTAAACCACCGAGCCTCTTGGGCTTGCTGATTGGAAGGTCAGCAGTTCAAATCCCTGCGACGGGGTGAGCTCCCGTTGCTCTGTCCCAGCTCCTGCCAACCTAGCAGTTCGAAAGCACACCAGTGCAAGTAGATAAATAGGTACCACTGTGGTGGGAAGGTAAACAGCATTTCCATGCACCCTGGTTTCCATCACGGTGTTCCATTGTGCCAGAAGCAGTTTAGTCATGCTGGCCACATGACCCGGAAAGCTGTATGTGGACAAACACCGGCTCTCTCGGCCTAAAAGCAAGATGAATGCCGCAACCCCATCGTCGCCTTTGACATAACTTAATCGTCCAGGAGTCCTTTACCTTGTACCTACCTTAACACCATAAGGGACATGGGTGGCACTGTGGGTTAAACCACAGAGCCTAGGACTTGCTGATCAGAAGGTCGGTGGTTTGAATCCCCGCGACGGGGAGAGCTCCCGTTGCTTGGTCCCAGCTCCTGTCAACCTAGCAGTTCGAAAGCACGTCAAAGTGCAAGTAGATAAATAGGTACCGCTCCTGCGGGAAGGTAAATGGCGTTTCCGTGCACTGCTCTGGTTTGCCAGAAGCAGCTTAGTCCTGCTGGCCACATGACCCGGAAGCTGTATGCCTGCTCCCTCGGCCAATGAAGCAAGATGAGTGCCGCAACCCCAGAGTCGGTCACGACTGGACCTAATGGTCAGGGGTCCCTTTACCTTTTTACCTTAACACCATAGGGCTTTTTTCAGCTGGAACTCACTGGAACTAAGTTCTGGCACATCTCAGGTGGGCACCATAGCCATTATAAGAGAACGAGGGAGGTGGTGCGTTCCGGAACCTCTTTTTCTAGAAAAATAGCACTGGCTGGCAGTCATTATCTGGGTGTGGGGTAGGGAGGCAGTGGGAATGAGATGAAGAGAAATTAGGAAGCACACCAGGTAG